TCTGCTGTGTTACTTGATGCATAGAGGTTATAGGAGTTGTATCTATCTTCATTATGAGCTCTCCATATAATTTTTGTAAGCCCAATCTCTTATTACATTTAATGAACCATAATTTAAATTTAACTTCTGCTTTCTCTTTTGTTCCTATTTGCACCACACATTTAGGTTGTTTCTTTATTTATTTTTAAAGTTTCAGCTTATTATTTACTTGAAGCATAATTCATATGAAAGAAGAATAAGCAATTATGTATTTACTTTGCCTCAGGGGTTGCTGCACTATGTCTTCCATTTTTAAACCAATATATTCAAACATCTTCCACATACAGAAAAAAAATCAAATAGTTCTTCCAGACAAAGAAATCCAAAGATCAAATGTAGAAATATTTTGCATAATGGAGATATTACTGATTATTGTTTGACACTCAGACATTATGAACAATTTGTACACAATTCTCAATCCCAGTGCTGACAATCTAAAGATCCATGTAGTTTTAGAATCTGTATGCAGTTATCCTAGTGACTTTCCAACTAAAAATAAAGGGACAAACCACTTTAAAAGGAGGATATTGAGTACCAGTCTCTTCAAATTTTGATAAGCTGTTCACTCTAGAGTTCACGAATACACAACACAATATGACACACACACACACACACACACACACACACACACACACACATACACACAGCATTCAAAAATGTCTAATGTTTTGCAGTATATTAACAAAGTTATTAGGAAAAACTATGCTATAATTACCATGTCACATAAGGCGCACAATTTAAAGGAGACAGCCCACATCAGGGAGCATTGTAATAAAAAACAACATGAGTATAGAATATATGAATTTAAAGTGTCAGACATTTTAAATGCTTGATTATTACTTCAAATTGTCATTTCACTCTGCCTCATATTTAGAATATGCACAACCCCACCCCCATCAGCCTGTGGAATATTAAATTGACCCACAAGAGAATCAAAACCTCTCTTAATTCTGCATTGCACTATTTTTTAGTTGCACATAAAAATGAACAGCAGCATATCATTTCACACCTTAAAAATAGCATTTGCAATTCTGTACATATCTGTCTGGTAATGTATCATTTCCAGTTGTATTTTGGGCTTAGTTTGAACATTTACAGGTGCAGATTTGGCAAACAACATTACTCTTGAATTCCGTCTTTGCTGCTCCTTCCACTAAATTGACCTCCCTCTTAGGCCCTGAGGCATTTTGTTGGTTGCAGGAGGAAGGTGCGAACCCAGTGCCAGGCTGGGACCTATCTTTCTATTTTCATCCTTTGGAAGAACTTTAGTTTTTTGTTTTTGATTATAGCACATAGTTGAGTTTAGGTTTTTGGCCCAAACTTAGTCCTTTTCTTTCAGAAAGCAAACACAGAGGGTGGCAAAAAAATGTATACACATTTTAAGAAAGAAAAAAACCTGTAGTAAAATTACACTGATGGTAACCACTTTAAGCATCTCTTGTAATTGCAGAAGTCAAAAGTTACTTGTATTCATCTTTTGTTTTTGGTATATATTGAGTATCAACATTTTAATAGTTTTTTCCTTTCTTAAAATGTTTATACATTTTTTTGGCATCCTCTGTATGTTCTAGTTATATAGTGTTGGTCAAAATAATATGTGTGGTTTTCTACCCTTTTATTATGTTTTAAATACTTCCTCTTGACTTTCTGTTTTGCTTAATTTTCCTGTTTTGTCATATGTTTTCTGTGTTATTTTCTGTGTTATAGTACATTGGAAACTATTTTTAAAACCTCTGGGAAGTATTTTTAAGTGAATAAATGTTCTTAAACTTTTACTTTTAGTTCCTCAAGAAGCTATTTGGTTACTAAAAATTGTTAAGCCTCTATATTCCCACATTTTCATTGTTAATCCATTGACACTATTAAACATTTTCTTAATACTATGTATCATATGTTTTCCAAAAGTTACTTGTATTTCTTGAAATAAATGTCATTCCAAATTGTTCTACTAGTTCTTGCATGTTATGTTAAGGTGGTTATGCATGTTGAAGAATAGTTTTAAATGTATCCTGTTTACTTATTTATTTTTGATTGCTTATATCCTTGTTTTCAGTCCTTCTATTTGCCTATAATTAGTGTGGGTGGCTTCTATTTTTCTCCCTGAGTGTTTACTTGAAAACTGTTAAAATCTGCTTCCTAGAGTTTGAGCTAGAGAGCTCAATGAAGCAGGTAAGTATTAAATGCCCAGCAACTCAGAAGAGTGAGTAGGTGGAGAAAGGCCTGGCTGCAGGCAACCCAAACTGGGATCTTCACCTCAGCTTGGTTTCTCTGGGTTTGTTGAGCCAGTAGAATTAGAGGTAGCCATATTCCACATTGCCTGTGTCAAGCTGCCTCCCTTCAGCTTCTGCTGGCTGTGATTGGGGAGTGTTCTGTCTCAGTGAATTGGGGGATCCTCATCTTTAGGAAAGTGTTTTCTGACTGGTTCATCAACTCTCCTGGTGTTGGGTGTCACTAGCACCAGAGGAAACATCCCCAAAGGTTATTGATGTTATATCTCTTATGACTAGGGGCCTTTTTTCAATCTCTGCTCCATTGTCAAATGGGTCATTGTGAGTGACCCAGTTCTTCTAAGTAGAGTAGAACCTTCTTTTCACATAATGCTTATGTCTCTAGACCTCATGCCTCAAAATGAAGATTAGTAAAATGTCTTTCTTTAAAAATTTTGGCAACCACTTATAAACTCCATAGCTTTAGCTAAGTATTTAATGACTATATAGATAAAAATATTACTTTGTAAAATTTCAGTTATTTATTGCAGAGCTCTGAATAATTATATGTTTTAAAAGCCCTCCTGCTAACTGGTTATGTAAGAGGGACATTTGACTCATTTTTGATTAATGATAAATCTCATTTTAGCAGATGTACCACTGATTCTTAGAAAGGCCTGAAATTGACCTGGTGGACCCTGCATACCTTATGCTGGATGGGAAACTGCTGTAGTAGAAATTGCTGAGCTACACTGGGAGTTAGGATGGTTAATAAGCCACCATGGGCACATTACTTAGTCACTATGATCCTTAGTTTCCTCTTCTAGAAGATGGGAATAGCACCACCTGTGATGCCTACTATAGCAGAGAATTTTTGTGAGGAATACGAGATATATATGAAAACAACATGCCAGGAATAGCAAAGAACTCTTACAGGAAGTGCATCACTCTTTCTCCCTGAAGAGAAGAGGAGTAGTAGTTTTGTTTTCACAGATTTTACTCCCCTGAATAAGAGAGAATATTTCAGCTAAAAATGAAATACATAAGCAGTTTGTCCCACCCTGCTCATTCATTCATAACTCATTCATTCATTCACTCATTCATTCATTCATTCAACATAGCAGTAAACAGACCAATTCCTTACTTTGTGAAGCTTATGTTTTAGCAGCAGAGATGGGCAATATACAAATACAAAAGTGATATCAGTAATGGTCGTCCTTCAGAAAGGTGTAAGAAAGAGTCAAGTCCAAATGAGAAGTTCTTGTTCAATGGGTATAAAGTTACAGTTATGCCAGATTAATAAGTTTTAGAGATCCGCTGTACTACATAGTGCCTATTATTAACACTACTGTATTGTGCACTTAAAAAAATTGTTAAAAGGATAGATCTCATGTTAAGTGTTGCTACAAAAATGGGGGATGCAAAAAGAAACTTTCTGAGGTGATAGATATGTTTATTACCTTGATTGTGGTGATGGTTTCATGGGTGTAAGCATGTGTCCAAACTCATCAAATTATATACATTAAGTATGTACAGTGTTTTTGAATATCAATTATACTTCAACAAAGCTGTTTAAGAAAAGAAAAAGGAGAGTGTGAGAAAGGACTCAGAAAAGGACCAGATGAAAGAGGCACAATAGTTCTATTTTAGATAATAATGGTCAGGAAAGATCCATTTTTATTTATTCTGAAGAATTAAATCTGCAATTAATAGAAAGCATAGGTATTACACCTATGGACTTGGATTTAGAGGGGATTTTATGAAGTTGACCTCAAAGACAAGGGAAATAACAGCAAATATGAGTGAAAGGGACTATATCAAACTAAAAAGCTTCTGCACAGCAAAAGAAACCATCAACAGAACACAGAGGCAAGCAACTGGATGGCAGAAGATATATGCAAACAACACCTCCTATAAGGGGCTAATGTCCAAAATATATAAAGAAGCTGTACAACTCAACAACAAAAAAACAAATAATCCAATTAAAAAATGGGCAGAGGACCTTAACAGACAGTCCTCCCAAGAAGACATACAAACGGCCAACAAACATACGGAAAATGCTCAGCTTCACTAGCTACCATGGAAATGCGAGTCAAAACCACAGTGAGATGCCACCTCACACCTGTTAGAATGGCTATTATCAACAAGACAAGTAATAACAAGTGTTGGAGAGGTTGGAGAGAAAAAGGAACCTGCATACATTGCTGGTTGGTATGTAAATTGTCATAGCCGCTACGGAAAACAGTATGGAGGCTCTTCAAAAAATTAAGAATAGAATTACCATACAACCCAACAATCCCTCTTCTGGGTATCTACCAAAAAATATGAAAACATTTATCCATAAATATATATGTACCCCTATGTTCATTGCAGCATTATTCACAGTGGCCAAGACCTGGAAACAACCAAAGTGTCCTTGATAAACAATTGGATAAAGATGTGGTACATATATACAATGGAATATTACCTGGCCATAAAAGATGAAATATATAGATGATGTATTATAGAAATGTACACTTGAAACCTACATAATTTTACTAACCAATATAATCCCAATGAATTTAATAAAGATAAAAAAAGTTAAAAAAACATAATTTTTGAAAGTTCCAAAAAGATTTTCATATACCTTTTCCGTTTTGCATTTTATGACAGCTTTTTGAGGCACACAGTCTAGATAGGATCTTGATTTGAGAAATAGCCACAAGGAAGCTGGTACCCAGCTGTAAAAAATTTCAAAATAGTGAACATACATACCCATTTCATGTCTGGTACTGGCCACACCTACGCCATATGCCTCTAAAACATCCTTCACTGTCCTCATAGATTCATCATACCTGGCTGCCAGGCCAAGAAAGTTATAGGAGCCCATGTTGATGACATCTTTGATGATTCTTCCAGTAAACCTGCAGAGAGAAGGGCAGGTGAGCATAAAGGGCTTTGTCATTTAATATCATCCTAGTGCCCCATAAAAGACTCTCACAAAGCCATTTTGGGTCTGGCCCAAATCATATATTTTCTTTTTGACTTACATTCTTGTCACCACAAAATGGTTTACTTTTAGAGGAAAGTATCCCCATAATGAAACTGGACAGAGTATTGGAAAAAGGTCTACTGAGTTATGGAATATTAGTTAGCCCTAATTTTCTTGGGTACTTGCTTTCATGACACCTGTGCTCTGGTTTAAATTCTAGCAAGAACTTTCTAAATGAGAAAAAGACAGTCATCTCTGTCTCCTTCAGCAATAAGTAGGAGGGTATACTTTGTCAAAAAAGCTGAAAAGAGCTCTCCCTGGCTAGGTCTCTGTATCCTGTATCTTCTTCTTCATTTTTAAATTGTGGAATTGGGGAAGGGGAACAGTGCTGGGGAATTGGGGAGGAGGACCAGCCAAGTTGTTGTTCTTCAATCTTAGTTGTGGAAGGTGCCAGTTGCCATCTGGCTGCCCATCGGCAGCTTGTGGCCTCTGAGCTCAAGGTGCTGTGTTACAATCTTAGTTGTGGGTGGGCGTAGCCACCATTGCATTCAAGAGTTCAAACAGCAGCCTTGTTGTTAGGAGCACATGCTCTCATCAGCTGAGCCATCGTGCCACCTGTTGACAGCTCAGCTGCAGCTCAGCTTGGGTGCAGTGTCACTGGCTCATGTGGGAATCGAACTGGCGGCCCTGTTGCTCAGAGCTCACTCTCTTAAGCTAACTCTTAACCAACTGAGCCACTTGGCCGGCCCTCCTGTACCTCCTGACACAAGTCTCACTTAAATATCAACAGCCATCCTTGGCAACTTAATTATTGAGACTGCCCCTACTGGCATATGATGGCTTGCAAAAGGCTGAATAATGGAAGACCACCTGCTTCAATGCTTTAGTTTTTCAGTTTGTAATCTGGTGCCCACACTATGATTTCCTTGAAAGGATTTTCTTCCAACCAAGCCCCTCCAGGTGGCTGTCTTACCTAAATGTCCAGTTGTAGTCATCCGACACCCTCTCCATCACGTCGAACAGAGCCCCTGGGGCACTGCAAATGGGTCGGTTCCAGTTGTCTCTGATTCTCATGTAAAGGTTCCGGGTATAAAAATTCTCAAAGTTTTGATACAGCGGCACAAAATCCTGTATGACAGAGGTAGACGTTGATCCCTTGCTTTTTATATTGCATTTGCAATGGAAGGCTAGGAGAAGACCTGGAAGAGCCATGCAAATATTCCATCTACTAATATTTTTTGAGCAAAGGTCTGTGGGTAAGGGGCCAGAGAGGGTCCATAACTAAGTCTGTGAGGACTTCATTCCCAAAGAACTTACATTTTAGTGGGGTAAGTAAAAAAAAGGTGGCAAATAAAAGTACCAACAATGACAGTGCAGTACAATGCAAGTCCCAAAATGAGTGGTGGAGACAATGAACAGCTGCAGAATTCCATCTGAAGGGTAACCATAGGTGTTTATGTCCAAAGTAGTTTAATTGGAAGAAATTGGTTGGGTGATAATTTGGTCTTAACTCGTTTGTATATGAATACCCCTACTCATTGTGTTTTTAGAAATGTGGGTTAACTTGAACTTTGGACCTGTTGGCAAAATTGTTGGCAGGTGTCACAAAGCCAAGGACCTGGAAACTGAGCTGAGTTTGTGGAAGCAACTGGCTTCTGTCATGATTGAAATAATAGCACTCTTTTGCTGTATAAAACATAATCCATGCCTGAGGGATTTGCAGTTCAGTTGAGGCTCAATGTAAAACACATCTAATGTTGTCATCTAACTCCTAATAGTACAAGGCAGAAAAATGAAAAACTTTGGCCTAAGCCAAATACTTGGGCATTTATAAGATTAGAGCCAGGGGTAGAGACACATCTTACTGGAGGAATCAAGGTGGCTTTATGTAGGAGGGACACAGGGATGCTTGGAGAAGGCACTCGAGGTTAAGAGGTTTGTATGCTGGAAATGTAAGGTGTATTTGAGAAAAATGAATAAGAATAAAACAGTTTCAGGATATTTGGTCATGTACCAAAATGTCCATGGAGACATTTGGTCCACACTGACCCATCTACGTCACCCCATGTGCCATTACCAGCTAGGCTACTGAGGCAAGAAAGGTTATTATTGGTGATGCAACATGATAATATTTTTTATGTGTTAATTTTGTAAACCAAAGTAGAAATAAATGTTATGGGCTGTTTGAACCTAAGGACATTTTCTAAGCATGGATGTTTTAGACAGGACCAAATATCAAGGACATTCAACATGGACAAAATGTCTCCGTGGATCAACTGTCTGTTACTTAAATAAAACATAAGGTGAATCTTGTTGCTCTTTGCTCAGAACCTATAATGGCTCACACCTCACTTGGAGTCAAAGCCAAGGTCTTGACTGGTCTGACTCCCTGTTGCCTCTCTGATACCGTCCTTTACTATTTTCTGTGGTGTGGGTGAGGCTGTAATGTCAGCTGGGCACAGAAAGTGGGAGCCTTGTGTCTAAATGAGGAACTTACACATTCTCCTGGAGGAGCCACTGAATAATTGGGAGTGAGCTTTCTTATTCTCCTACTCATCCTCTTTGAATTCTTTGCTCTCCTTCCCCTTATGAAATGGAGCTGATTTCCTGGGAGAACAAGGAGAATCAGGGGAACAGCTTTGTGGACGATGTTTTGTGCTACTGGTTTGGCCTTCTCATCTCCTAAGCTTGTCTATTCCAGAGGAAAATACATAAAATCTGCAGGTTTTTTTTTTTTTTAAGATTTTATTGGAGAATTGGGGGAAGGGAACAGCATTGGGGAATCGGGGAAGGGGAACAACAAGTTGCTGTCCTTTTGTTCTTCAGTCTAGTTGTGGAGGATGTTGCTTCACTGGCCCATGTTGGCATTGTGATCATTGCACTCTTCCCGGCTGAGGCAGATGGGTCACCAGCCCTTTAATGGCCACTCACAGCAGTTCACAGCAGCTCACCCATCTGCCGGCTGCTCACATTGGCTGCTGGCCACTCACAGTAGCTTACCACAGCCTGCTACAGCCCCACTGCAGCCTATGCCGTCACTGGTGACTCATGGCAGCCCAGCTCCAGGTTGAGCTGTTATTCACCATCTTAGCTGTAGAGGGCACAGCATCACTGGCCCATGTGGGATCTGAACCGGCAGCCCTACTGCTCAGAGCTCGCGTCCCCAAGCCAACTCTAAACTAACAAGCCACTTGGCCGGCCCTAAAATCTACAGGTTTTAATAGCTGGTGACTACACCCAAGCCACAGTCTTTTCTGTCACTTTACCCTCTGCTTTTCAGTGATAATGGCATTATTTGGGGGGGGGGGAATTATGATTATTTATAAGAAAGAATGTTCATCGCCACATACTGGGGCTATTTCTTGCAAATTTGAAGGATGCTTTGGCCACTCTACTGGTTACATTTGTAAGCTGAAAATTTCATACCAAGCTAATTTACTCTCAAGTAGCTAACTATCCTGCTATAGGTTTTGTTATGATTTAAAGCTACCAGGTTATGATAGTCAATTATACCCTTTTATGTTCTAACAGGGAAATGGACATATTTTTGAGAGAAAAGGAGATTTTATAATTCCAGGAAAATTTTTTCCAAACTATTTTCCCTTTGATTTTATAACATTTTCAGACTGTTTACAATCTACTCTATATCCCCAAACATTGTCCTTCTATTTTTAATTTTTCTTATTTGAAATGCATCATAGACACTCATCCTATCATGAGAAAAGAGACAAGTAGGTCTATAAGTAATATTTATGAACTCTGAGTGGAATTATATTTTAGATTTTATGAGAAATATTACTCAAAATAATGTTAACATTTGGTTTAGAAGAAAACTTAATAGTTGATTTCAGAAAACACTTGGTTTTAGGTAGAAAAGAACCAAAATGCTATGCCTACAAAATTAAAACAAAATTAATTTCCAACATGGAACCATAAGATGCACACATACCAGGGCAGAGGAGATATCAAAATCAGAACTCAAATACCCATTTGACATGTGAGGAAAATCAGACCTAGCAAAGTGAGTGATTTGAACTCAGTTCAGCATCCAGCTTTATCCACTCTCCCAGCAGTCACTTCAGAATGACCTTAGGTTGGCACATGACCTAGCTTAGCCAAGCTTCCCTCTAAAACACCAACAATGACAAAAAATATGAACTACAATATGAAAAAGGCCAATAGATTGCCAGGCCATGGAGGAATGTCCACTCATCATAAGGAACTTGGCATTGACTTGAGAAAACAACCTGGGGTTTCCAATCATTGGTGCCTCATAAAGTTGGGCCATCATGGCCCCCTGAAGGAGGATGGGAAAATACTCCATCCTGTCCAAACTTTCTGGCTCCTGGCTCAGAGATCCAAAATTTTTACCTATGAGGAAACCAGCAGCTAGCTCTTAATTAAGATAAATTCTTTGAGGGCAAGATACAGGGATTCCAATGATTCTGCAGGATCAAGAGAGGCTTTCTGCTATGGAATGACCTTTACATTCAAAAGACATTTTAAATTAGGTACTTGAAACTTCTCTGTCAAAGGGATGGGCCCGTAGTTTTTTAATCACACAGAGCCATTTCTTTGTGGGTGGTATGAGTGCTAACCCAGATCTAAACATCAAGCTCAGTAGACATGTTCCTAAGAGGGACAATTGAGCTTGGAAACATACTTTGAATTCAAGTATGGTCTGAGGAAGAACTGCCTTGCTTTTAGGGCATCCTCCACCTCTTCCACTGCCCCTGTGAGGCTTCTTACCTCTGCATGGGTGTATTCTCACCCCACCCCATTCCTTTGAGTATCAGTGAGGTTTCTTCAGGGGCAGCCAACACCTTACAAAGGTCAATGTCCTCTAGTGACAGGTAAACCTCCCACAGCATTTTAACTACACCAGAAAAATGAAACTGGACTAGATATTGCCAAAACAGAAGCACTGCAATAAGATAGCACTGCAACAGCGTTGCACTATCTTTATCTATCTGTAGATTAACTTGTCACTTGACTTACTCACTTCTTTTTTTTTTCTTGACACAAATGACTAGATGTGGGATTGAAACCCAAGCTATAAGGTTACAATCATTTTAGGGGGCAGGCTGAGCAAAACCTGAATATGCAGCTACAAAAATGGCTTATTTCTTCTTCAATATGATGGTCTTTCTTTTTCCACCTTTAAGCTTGTAGGGTACTTCATAATTTTCAAAGTGTTAGAGATATTTCTATCCAAGGTTTATAGAGAAATCAATGGAAAGGCAGAAAATTTGAGTGAACAAATTGGAAATCGTACTTCATTCTAACACCAATGATCTTTTTAATAAATCATACTGCAGGACTAGGTATTTATAAGAAAGTGAACATATCCATGGCCCACCGTAAAATATACTACCAAATGTGGAAGCATGTTCCTTCTTATTTGATTTAACTATATGACCATTCAGTAGCAAATAGAATCATGGATTTAAATACAAAGAAAGAATAATTATCAAATACCATTTATTTATTAGTCCCTACATTGACACTTCTGTTCTTACCTAATATTTAATTTTTATGTCATCATTTCCTTTAGAGAAACAGCTCTTTCTCTTATAGGATTGATCCTAGAATAATAGTTAAATATGTTTGTGTTTGCTTTTTTTGTTGTAAAAGGTAATGGTATTATAATTAGTTCATTGAAGTATGAGAAACACAAAGTAAAAATGGTTAAATTTAATTTTTCTTTTTAAGAAATTACAGGAAGCTTGAATAAAAATGGAGGACTCATTGTATATATTTTACCACTCATCTAAAAGTCCTGTGAAGTGACAAAAAATAGATATTTAAAAATGAAATAAATTTTGCTTCTGGTCAAGATGGCAGAGTAGGTAAACACTGTACTGGTCTTGTCCCATGACCAAATAAAAATTACCACTAAACTACAGAACAACCTTCACTGACAATAGCCTGACATCCAACTGAACAGAAACCCTATAACTAAGGATACACAGAAGAAGTCACCTCGAGACTGGTAGGAGGGGTGAAGATGCAGAACGGGTTAGTCCCACACCAGCATGTCATGATTAAAAACTGGGAGGGATATCTTGGCTGCAGAGGTCCTCCATGGAGAGTGAGGGGGTCCCTGACCCATACCAGGCTCCCCAGCC